GGACCGTCGTGGTCGCAACGGACCGTCGTGGAATCCGTCGTCCCATACTTGGTGCAATTTCTTCTGCTGCTTTCTTCATTCCCCTCGACGGCAAGTGTGACGGACCGTCATAGGCACAATGGTCCGTCGAGGGTTTTCGTTTCAAAATACTTTTAACTCTTGGAATCTGGGTACTGGGATCACTTCTCTGTTCTTCACGACGAACCTGCAGGACGGACCGTCATAGCCATGACGGACCGTCACAAGCTTCGTAATCCCACACTTGGTCAGACTTCCCCATCTACCTTCAGCAGCTTCTCTACGCTTCCACCTACGGACTGTCACAGGCACGACGGACCGTCATAAGCTCCGTAGGTGGTCTCTTCTGCATTTTTTTGCTCAAAATCTCCGCTTTCAGCTCTGGACTGCAAAACAAAGAGAAACTTATATCAAAATTAACACAAAAAGTCTTTTGGACACACTAAACTTAAGGAAGAAGTATTAATTATACCGTGAAACCACGGTATATCATTTCCCAAATGAGTATGGTGTGGAGGCTTGAGTCCTCATAGATGTGCTTGGGTTGTGCCCAATGGTTATGGTAATTGTTGTTGTCACCTGTTAAGTGTTATGGTTGATTTTATATTATTATTTGATATATATTGCTCTCTATTATGAGTTGACCGATGATACCTACTCAGTACTTGTGTTTTGTACTGACCCCTACTTGTATGTTTTCGTTATTTGTGGAGTGCAGCAAACGTACCGTCGTCTTCAACTCAACCGCAACTCTAGCCAGTCTTCATCACCTCAGATTTCAGGGTGAGCTATTGTTCCTAGCTCGGACTGGATTCTCTCTCATTCATTTCTTGATGTCCTTGAAGTTCGGACATGGACCATCTGTTTTTTTATTTTAGCTTCGTAGACACTTTTAGACTTAGTAATTTGAGGATAGAATGTTCTTGTTGTCATGACTTCCAGATTTTGGGGATAGTAATTGATAAATTTTAGAAGTTATTAATTGATTTCGTTAATGAGTTTTAAGTCTTCCGCATTATTTTCTGTTTATTATGATTGAAATGTTGGGGTTTAGATTGGTTGGTTCGCTCACATAGGAGGTTAAGTGTGGGTGCCACTCGCGGCTCGTTTTGGGTCGTGACAATACCACTCTCACTTGCCACATTATATCCACATAAGCGCCACGTCACAGTCATAACAGCACCACGTCATTAATTTTTAATTATTTTTTTCTTATTTACCCTTCGTCATATTTTTTTTGTTAAATTCATTACACTAATCAATTAATTTGAAATGCATTTTAATATCACAATTGTCCCACCTTCTTTCACCCCTTCTCTTCTACTCCCCCCCCCCACCCCCCGCTCTTCTTCTCTTTCTCCTTTTTTTGATTTTCATCATTTTTAGCCTTCATTGACTTTTTCTTTTTTCCCCGATCATTTTCGACTTTCAATTGTTGTTTTCTTCTTCAACATTCATTATTTTTAAAAAAAAAAAAAGAGGATAAGTACTTTTTCTTTTTCGAAACCTCTCCACCTCTCCTACAAATTGTCATCTGAGAATGATATTTTCTGAAAGTATTTTTTTCTTAACAACTCAAATGAAAAATGAAGATTGTATAAGAAAGTTGATAGAACCACATTTTTGCATATAAAATTTAAAATGGGTCACTAAAAATTGAAGAAATTTACATTCAATAATATTGAATTAGGTGTTGGACTTTGTGGATTGATGAATGATTAGTGAGGTAAGAGATGAACTTGAAGGGAAAATGACTAGAAAGGTATAAGAAGTGTTTTAATGGGGAAGAAAACATTTGAAGAAGACGACAAATTAAAAAGAACAAAGAAAAAATTTTAAAAATTGAACCCACAAATTTCATTTACTTTTAAACAAGAAATTTCACAATTTTTTTTAAATTTAACTTATAAAAAGTTAAAAATTATTAGTTATATATTGGTCAATAAAGAAATGTTATGTGTATGATATAATCATTTAATTTTTTTATTTTTTTATATTTCACATCAGCTCTTAAGATGATATTTAATTATTTTAAAATTGTTAAATAGGTATTTAAATATTCATATAATCAAAGTACTAATATAAATTTTGACGTCAAATTTAAAAGGAATATGACGTATTTTCTCATAAAATAATAATAAATAATAGTCATTAAAAAGACATCACTATTCATCCTAATATAGCAAAACACAATCAATATATCAATATATATATATATATATATATATATATATATATAAGGACCATAGACAAGGTGATGTGGCACCTCTCTATGGCCTCCATTCCTTTTTTTTCTTTTTTCTCTCTTTTTTGACATTTTTTCTTCTTTCTTTTTATGAAATAATTTGTTTATTAATTAAAAAAATTCAAGTATATTTATTATTGTAATTATATATAATGAGTTACAAAAAAACCTCCATCTATTGATATTCTCACTTAAATTGCATGTCTTTTCAATTTCCTTCTAACTTATTTTATGGCTTATCCAATCTATAAATACCTATCATCTATAGAGATGTTGAATGTTCATTTTCATTTTTTCATTCTTTCTTTTTAGTAGTATAGGTTTTTAATTTTATTTTCTTCGTCTTTTTATTCATCAATCATGTATATAATAAAAAGAAGACATAAAAAAGATGATGTCACAATATGACCTTCACTTTGATGAAGATCATAGATATATTCTTCAAAGATTCATCACATTATTTGGTATAAGTTCAACAAAATGAAGAAAGAAGCATAATTATCTTGGAGATTCCGGAAGATAGAGTCAGTATTATAAAAGTTTGAATGATTTCTAAACATTTTGAAATTTCATTGTTGTATTATTTTGATCCCAATTAATATTATTCTATTCTCTTTTATTTTATTTCTTTGATTTGAACAAAAAAATGAATATTCTATTCATTGTTGTTGTCGTTGAAGATGAAAAAATGCACATTTTTTTTATTATTTATATATATGTCAATTTATAGCTAATTAATATTTTAAATTTTGCCATGATTGAATTAAAAGTATACTACCTATGACACATTTCTTTTTATATCTATTGGATATTGTTGTCCCTTAAAATATATGATGTGGTCTATCATATTAGTAATCAATAACAAAATAAATGAATAAATCTTATTTTTATTATTAAATTTTTCCATTTGTTTCTTCTTTCTTTTTGTCTTTTTTTTATTCTTTTCATAAAATATTTTTTTATTAATTATAAAATTCAATCATATTTAATATTGTAATCATATGAAATGAGTTACAAAAAACCCATCTATTGATACTCTACTTAAATAGAATGTCTTTTCGATTTCCTTTTAACCATTTTTATGACTTATTTTATCTATAAATACCAATCATCTATGGAGATGTTGCATGTTCATTTCCATTTTTTCATTCTATCTTCTTAGTAGTATAATTTTTTAATTTTATTTTCTTCATCATTTTCTTCATCAATCATGTAGTTAAGTAATCAAAAAAGAAGATATAGAAAAGATGATGTCACGATATGATCTTCACTTTGATGAAGATCATTGGTATATTCTTGAAAGATTCATCAGATTATTTGGTACAAGTTCAACAAAATGAAGAAAGAAACTTAATTATCTTGGAGATTCATGCATAGAGAGTTGTAGTAGTATAAAAGTTTAATTGATTTACTATTTTGATTTCAACTAATATTATTTTGTTCTCTTTTATTTTATTTCTTCATTTTGAACAAAAAAATGATTATTTTATTCATTGTTGTTGTTGTTGAAGATGAAAAAAATGATTATTCCATATATATATATATATCTCCCTTATTTAGAAGAGGGAGTTGAAAGGACTAACACAACTTTAAAAAGATGTTCCCAAAGCTACTCAAATTGTACTTTAAATATATATTTAAATGGTACTTTAAATATGACTAACACAGCTTTAAGGACAAAAAATATTGTTTTAAAAAGTTGTTCCCAAAGCTACTCAAATTGTACTTTAAATATATAATATATATTTTATTTTATTTAACAGGGATAATTATGTAATTTTACCATTAAATTAGGAGATTTGTAGTTTGGCTGTACTTTTTACATCTGTACATTTATTTTCTATCTACTTTACTTCTTTCCCTGTTTACTTCTCCTCCACATTTGCTTCTACATTGATTTCTCCTCCACAATTCCTCTCCATTAATCTCCATTTTTTCTCAAATTTCTCTTCAATGTTGTTGTCCAGATAATACAAATTACAGGTTTTATCGCATAGTGGTCAGAAATTACAGAGAAGAAGAGCTGTAGAATACAACTGCGGTAACAATCTTTTTGAGCTTAAATTTCATCAAATTATTGTTTTGTTCTTGCATGCAGCATCAGATTTGATTCTTGTAGCCATGAGACTATTTTGATGTGTTTTGTTTCTGCTCTTGAAATTTGAATACTTCAACAAATATTGGTAGGGCGACAAGTAGTTGTGTTTATATATTTGGGATGAAGATTTGTTGTTTGAGATTTGAGAAAATCGCTTTGGCTTTCACTTCTTCAGCTGTAATTCATGGTTCTCTTTCTTCTTCATCTTCATATGAACAACAACAACCTAGAGGTTACCCATTACTCTTTTTCTCTCCATTTTTTCAGTTTTTGCTTTTAATTCTGTAAATGTGCTAGAGATTTTTCTCATCTGGGTTTCGTTTTTTTTCTTCTTTGGTTCTCAAATTTTCAAATTTTGCACTTAAAACTATTAATATGATAAAGATCAGAGAATTTTAACATCTGGGTTTGCTATTTCTTTGTTTGAGTTCCTAAATTTCAATTTTTACACTTAAAAGCGTTAATGTGATGAAAATCAGACAATTTTATACTCCCTCTTCTAAATAAGGGAGATATATATATATATATATATATATTGTGATTTCATAGAACATTTGTCAGTAGTTTTAAGCCTTTCCCATGCATCCACATTGTTGTCACCGAAACTCCACCGACATCTTTCCTTCTCCGCCGGTAACCATGCAAGCTATCCAATCTTCATCTCTCCGGCCATCTCCGGTCGACCCATTTCTCAAAACCATACCCCAATTCACCAATGTAAAGCCATTGAGACCCAAAAGAACCCCTTTTATCTCAGCTTCATCCACTACAGTTTCAGCCCCAACAAGGGAAAAAGACCCCGAAAAGCGTGTTGTTATAACCGGGATGGGTCTTCTTTCTGTGTTTTGGAATGATGTTGATGCTTATTATGATAAATTATTGGCTGGTGAAAGTGGGATTACTCTAATTCATCGATTTTGTGATTGTACTGGCCATGTGTGTTTTCATTATATTATTTACTTGGTATGACATTGCTGTTGACAAAATATATTTATGTGAACAATTTAAAAGTAGCAGTAACTTCATTTTAGAGTTTTTTTTATACATTAAAAATTGATTTATTGTTTAAAATTTTTTTGTATCAACAACCTCAGTACATTTTGCACTGAACCCGAGGAGAGGATAAAGTAATGAACTCGCACTATGTCTTAACAACAAAGCCTGACATACTGTTCAACCATGAAGTTACTTTCATGATTCATCATCATCATTGCCAAATGACATTGAATGGGAAAATCTTTTTTATTGTCTTACTATTCCCTCGAATGATAGTTACATTTCATTTGAAATAACATTCGAAGCAAGATAAAAACAAAAGACCATATAGGATATGCATATGCTCTTGCAATATAATTTCATCTTTCTCATGGATCATAAAGTTCTCCACCCCTACAATTTTTTTGGTTTTTTTTAATTTATTCATTACTCATTCATTAGATTGCATACAGATTGTTTCTCTATAGAGGCTACATTTGTGCATGACACTTTTGGTTACATTTTAATATTGTTTACCTCGGAAAAGGCTCTTCGCCTCAACTCCTGTACATCACATCAAAAGCTGGCATTTAAACTTTGATATTTAGTTCATACAGAACAATTCACAAAAACTCTTATTTGAATAGCTCAACTTCTGCAAGTGTCTTATAAAAAATGACAAACTTCATCAAAATGGATGAAAAGTTAGAAAAATTATTCAGCCACAGATATAAGTCAATTTGTCGTAGTATTGAGTTTCTATTAAGCTTTCAGAAACAATTTCTTATTTTTTGATACTAACAAGTATTGTCATGGATAAGTTGAAAAAAGTTTGAGGGTAAACAGACTTTAGATCAGGATGTCCTAATAATATCTAGCACGGAAGGCACACTAAGGGGTTCGATATATTGAATTTAGAGGTTGGAGTGAAATGAGGTAAAACTCCCCAGGCGTCATCCACACACATTCATACAAAAGAAAAAAAAATATTCCTCCTGAAACACTACAACATATAACAATATGGTGAAGTGAAGCCCAGATTCTGTGATGACTATTGAACTCCATTTCACAACTAGATTGAAGGGAGCCATTTTCTGTAGATATTTCAAAACATTTAATGTTTGAAGCTAAAAGGCTCCATTATTTACTCATGTTTTCTGAATTATGAAGGCACTACTGAAAATAGGTATTCGTGGTGTCACTGTTTCGGATGTTCGTGGTTTTGGCGCCCAAGGTGGCTTGATTGAGAGGCAAGCTGGTATGGAAATATTCATCAATTTTAAGTGTTTATTTACATTGTCTTGAATATTTCTCGATTAAAAAGAGATTCTTTCCTGGGTTTTAAAGTTATCTGCTGCTTCCAGGCTCTGAATTCTCTGAAGACACGTTTGTTACAAAAGTTAAAATGGAAATTGTTGTCAGCAAAGACCAGGTTTTGAATTTAATAGGCCTTGACCAAGCTTTCTGTGAGCTATCATTTAAAATCATGTGTTAGAAGTATATGATTATAGAAGTATATGGTTAAAGTGTCATTTATTTATCCTATGTATATAGAAGTTTTATCTAAGTGGTGCTCCTTGCGATATGATTGTGCTTTTTCGATGTTAGTTCTGATATAACCTGTAATGATGTCTTATTAGGTTGAAGGAGTCCTTGCCAAGATAATTGAAGAGGCAAGAACTGGTGAAATAGGTTATGGAAAGATATTCTGTAAGTTTTTCTCTTCATGATCTTGGAGTGTTTGATGTAATATCTCTAACCAAGCTTGAAACCATTCAGTTAATGTTTCCTCAATGAGTATGCTGTATATTTTCATATGATGATTCATGACATATCTTCTGTACAGGGTAAGGTGTAACACATAAATCATAATCTATTAATCTTTAATTTACTGTGTTGTTTCCAAGCAAATATTTGCCTGAATAATCTAAGTGTGTTGCACATGAAGTGGGAAAACCAATGCCAGCAAGCCTTTTAATACGTGCTTGCAATGACAATCCATATATGTATACGAGAAGAAACAAATAGAGATACTATCCCAAAATTTTAAAATAAGATAAAAAGCTGTAGGAATTTCAAACTTCTGATCTTTTTACCTTTTATTTTATCAGACAAGGAAATCCATCAGTGACATTGTTCACAATAGTTTAATTGAAGCCCAAATTTGTTGAGCTCTCCTTTGCTTTGATGCTTATGTTCTTAAATATTTAAACGTCTTGTGAGAAAACATGATTCCAGTTTCTAGCTTATGAAGATACATACATTTATGATTTATCGACACACACACACTCTTCTATGTTTTCCTCTCAAGGCCTTTTATTTTGTGAGTATGTTTCTCTTTGATCTTAATTTCATTTATTCTACCAAAATGTCGAGCCAAGCCTGGAGTGGATCATCACACAGGTTGTCTGATGCTACAAGATCTTATTGTGTGCTCAAGTTAATGGCCATATTGTATTAGCAAGTGGTTTGTTAATGGACATATTTTTTTCTTTAGTATTAAAACTAAAAAAGATACAGGTATGTATTCAGAAGAAATTTATTGAAGAGCATAAAACACAGTTTACAGTGGTAATTAGTTCACATGTATGTATTTGGGAGGGATCCTTTACTTTTGGCCAAGCCTCTATTTTGCAAGGGATCTCTTGGGTAATATTGGTGCAATCACATTACATAGTTTTAATCTTGCTAAAGTTTAAGCATCACATGTTTTTCCTTGCAAAGAAAATCTTAAACGAGTGAAAGAGACCCTGAAGTTTCAAAGTGGTTGTTAAAGTTGGGCCATCTATTGGGATATCATTAGTTTTTCATATTCCAATTGAATATTCTCGGAACCTTGATGTGCTAGACATTATTTTCTTTATGAAAATATTACAAAATGTACTGAATTGTTGATGCTGTTTTTTTTTAAAAAACTTTGGCAGTGACTCCCATCTCCGATGTTATAAGAGTTCGCACTGGTAAGTAGAATGTTTTGCTTAATGATACTCCATTTGTATTTATAAGTTAGATAGTCTCCGTAGGTTGATTAATCATTTAAATTTCATATCCTTCATAGAGGTTTGAACTTGTCCCTTGTAATGATTCTATGGTACGCTGGAACAGGTGAACGGGGAGAAAAGGCAGAGAGGATGATGGGAGGGCATGCTGATATGTCCTCTGCATTATCAACTTCTTGAGCGGCAACGCCTCTATCTTGAAGTTGAAACGTTTAATCATCTTTAGTTGTGTGCAGTCAAGTAGGGAATAAAATAAATAAGTTGGAGACTTACCATGTACCTGTGGTTTCAATAGCCAATTTCCATAAAAATCGTAGCTTAACAGCTATTTCGTATATGCACACTTCAGCTCAATCGTGGTAACTTTGCCCCTCCCCCCGTTTTGGGTGAAGTTGTGTTGTAATATGTTGGTTGATCACTGTGAATATTGAATGATAAGTTATTCAAGCAATTTCCTAAATGAGCCGTTCATATATATCAAATCTGAAACTTTAGCCTTTTTAGATCCCCATGTGTGTACTCTCCTGTGCAATATATATTGAACCATTAATTCAGGCTGATGCCAAATTTCAGCAGCATTGGGCGCTGTGAGATAGTGCACTGCGCCCAGCTTCAGACATAGCTGCTGCAAGAATTCAAATTTCATCACCAACTTCTGTAAGTCATACTTCAAGCTGATAATTTAAGAGTTTACATATTTATTAAATAATAAAACAAATTTTATTTATTCATCAGTAACTCAACATGTATTATGTATATGATATTTCCCATCAGATGGGACTCTTCTATGTTGAAGCAGAAATGGTCATATCAGATGAATTGCAAGAGTTTTGTGTACTTGAATGCTCAGGATGCAAACAAAAGAAGCACAGAAAAGATAGAAAGGATTTTCATTGTCCAAAATGCAATCGGAAAACAACATTACTTCCTCGGTATTTCTCCTTCTCGTTCGTCTTTGTTCAATTGATATATCTACTTAAGAATACATATTATGTGCTATTGATAACCCGTATATATGGCAATGTTCACTGATGTGTATCATTTATAACGGAAAATAGTGACAAGTTTATACCAAATTGACTTTACATTAGTTGCTTAGTAGTTGTAAATAGTTTTACTTTAAGATATCTTCATTTAGTACAATTATATGTTTGAAAAAATAATATAATACCTATACATATACAGAAGCATTAAGTTATACTTTAACTATGTAAGTGCCAAAATCGAAAACGATTTTTGGTAGAAGGCTGTCCTTCAACCTCTAAAATTAATAGATCACACACATAACAACAAACATTATCGATATGTATTAAGAAAGAATCATAAATTGTCCCTATAATAATAAAAGAAAAAAACACATTAAATCAAATCTCAAATAGTCAGAAAAAGGAAAAGTAACAAACACTCATATTTTTAACTTATCATGATTTCAGGTGTATCTTTCAAACTGATCTTACTGACGGTACTGCTACAGTCACAGCATTTATCTCTGCGGAATTGAGAGAAAAACTACTCTCCATGACAGCGGAAGACATATTTGACATAACCTGTGCTAAGGTGATCTCTTATTCCAGCCAACACATCTATTATCACAAAGAGTTTCTTCTCACTCTTTACATTTACAGAAGCAATCCTTGCATATTAATCATTTCCATGAGATGTTGTCCAACAAACTATATCAAATTCAGCTAAGGAAGTCATCTTGGGGTACCTCAAACAACACACAAGCAACTTACTCCATTATTTCCTACATGGAAAAGCAACATACTCCAACAACCACTATTGACAGGAATTCCAAAAAGGTAAGACCTTTGGAGATAAGTGAGATGGAGGTGACAGAAACAACTACTGCAGCTGGTTCTTCAAATGCAACTCTGAAATTTGAACCACCTACACCAACAAAAAAACTGTAAAAGGTCAGTCTACATCTGATTATCACATTTATTATTAAAAATCAAACCATAAATCACAATGATTAACAGTTCAAAACATTTACAAGTATTTGAAACTTAATGAGGTTGAATCATTGTTGCATTTTAATCTTTCTCTGCTCCATTTTTCTGATGTATTTTAGACCATGGGTTGCTGATTTTGTATCGTATTGCTGCTGAATTTTAGACTAAACTATTTGTTACACTTCTGATCAAATTTCTGTCTATTGTTGCTATGTGTCGAGCAAAATCTTGCTACACTTTTGGCTATATTTGAGCTAATGGTTTGCCTATGTATTTGGCTAAACTTTGTTGCACTTTTAAGTTAGCCAACTGCTGCATTTTTTCCAAAAATCAGGTATACCATGCCTCTGTTTGCATCTTTGTTTTTGATATGCCTTCAGAATTCTGAATAATTATAGTTTAATCTTATGAAAAACAGACCACCCAACAATGTAAATCAAGTGATGATCTTCTGCAATAGCATAACATATATCTTCCCATCATTTATTGTGTTGAAAAATTGTACCATTTTCCAGTTTAATTTCTGCGAACTTTACATTATAACTTACATGAGCATCTTGGTATACTTTCACTGAACCTGCTTACTTCACTGGAAAATATGAATTTCTCACCCCTAAATACTGAGGATCTGAAGCAATCCTCTGTTTGTACAATGAGTTTTTCTCAAATTCTGCCAATTATCTCATGTGTTATTGCCTATTTAAATACAGGACAATAACAACATCCAACTGATATGAATTTAAATATTGTATTTTCACTTTTTAACATACCTTGATTTCTCTAATTACAGGAACTTCCTCACTTGATTTTGTGACTTTTGCTTAATGAAGTTTTTGGATTCTCAGTCGATTCAAATTTGGTCAATAGGGAGAATGAAATGAATCAGTTAACTTTTTGTCCAAGAAATGAATCAGTTAACTTTTTGTGAAGTCTTCGTAATTTAGCTTCGCTGGTAATATTATATTCCACATTTTTGTCATATATACTTTTTGAATGGTTTCACTTTTGTCATTAACAACTCAACTTTCTAAATTTACTAACACTAACAATTTTCTCAGGAACCCCTAACAACTCCCTATGCTATGGTTTTGGGAATGATGAAGAGGATTAGCAAGAGAAAATGAACAGCAGCATTCACATGTTGATCTCATATGTCAAAAAAATATTTTGATTTTATTACCTTAGTTACTATGGATCATCTTGATGTCCAATATCAGTTGTACATATATTTTGAACATCTCTAATACTATATAACATATCACATTCTCTTATCTTCTGTGACAACTATCATCAATGATTCTGATATTTTGATTATTGGGCCCGTGCTTGCCACGGGCCTTCCCCATCTAGTATATATATATACTTTAGATTTTTCCATGATTCAATTAAAGGTATATTATCTATGGTACACTTTTTATAATATCTACTGAATATTTTTGTCCCTAAAAATATATGATATGGTCTATTATATTAGTAATCAATCACAAAATAAATGAATAAATATTTTTTCAGTATTGAATATTTTTAATGATATATTCTAATTGAGCACACTCGGTATCACTTTGTAAGAATACACTACATTGTTGTTGTTTTAATTAAACATATAAAGTTTGTAATATTTAAGTTAGTACTGAAACCGTATAAGAATATATGTAAATTTGTGACTAATAAAATTAATTTCGATTAGAGAACTTTTTTTTATTGTAATTTGTTATTAATAACATTTTAAGTTTCTTACCTTTTCATTTTCTCCTATTAAATTGATAAGGGAGATATTAATCTTACAAACATAATTGGAACTTTGAATTTAGCATTCCCTAAAATTAATCTCATTAATTTTCCCTTCTTAAACTAAGAAATATGTATCGCTTTATCTTCATAACTTATACTTCTATAATCTCTAACTCCTCATAACTCTCAAATTTTAAATGTGTAAACTCATAATAATTTATTGTGTTTCTCAATGATATCTAAATAATTGTGTATTGTAAGACAATCCCTTTTTAAGCAAGTGTTATTGTATTCTAATTCATATTTGATGTACTCATGATAGAGGAAAATCTTATGAATTATGTATATTGATTTTTTCTTGCTTTTTAGTTAGTCATGTTCAAGAGATCAATTCTTGACCACAAAATCTGAATCTTAGGCTCTAAATTTTTTTCTTCGTAATCTTTATAACCCCTCATGGCTCTCAAATTTTAAATGTGCAAACTTATGATAATTTATTGTTTTTCTTAATAAATATCTATATAAATGTGTATTGTAAGACAACTCTTTTGAGACAAATATTAATGTATTTTAATTCACATTTGATGTACTCATGATGAGGAAAATATTATATATATATATATATATATATATATATATATATATATATATATATATATATATATATATATATATATATATGAACCTGTGATAGAAGATATTTAATTTATTTGCCAAAATAAAAAATAACAATTGAAAAAAAAATAGTATAATTTTATGAATCATGTTTTTGTTATTTTATTTATTATTTTTTAATCCCACTTTAGTTTATCTATTTTTTATTTCACGTTTTATTCAAAGTAATTAAAAAATAAAATCCAATAAATGAAAATATTGATATCATAATTGAAGATTTTGTAAATTTTTTAGTCAAAACTGTTCTCTTTTTGCTTTGGTTTACTTATATGTTAATATTTTGTAATATTAAATACTTGTATTTTATATATTATGAAAATCATATTTTGTAACTCTTTTGAAGTATAATTAAATATAGATCAAAATAAATAAAATAGCGAATATAAATATTTAATATACATTTTATGAAATTTAAAAATAGGACAAACATATATGCCAAAAAAATGTTAGGTAGTGGAGCCTGATTAATTTTAGGTTTTCCTATTTATTCTCTATTTTAGGCTTTCCTATTTATTCTATATTTTAGGTTTTCCTATTTATTCTCCGTAACCAAAAATACTATGATTTATTAATATAAATATACCTCACCGCCGTGGAAGTTTACTCACGGGGTGTTATCACGAAATATTGAGTTTCCTCTTTCTCTCTCTAGATCTCTCATCTCTTTCTCTTGAAAGTTCTTGTGTTCTTCATTAATCTAGTGTGTTTTCATGAATTAGATCCTAACAAGTGGTATCAGAGCTAAGGAGTTTCAACACGATCACAGAAGATGGATAGTTCGAAACTTGGAATCGAGAAGTTTGATGGAGCCGATTTCAGTTTCTAAAAGATGCAGATCGAAGATTATCTGTACCAAAAAGATCTTCACGAACCATTGACCGGGGTGAAGCCGGAATCCATGACTGAGGAGAAGTGGAAACTCAAGGATCGCCAGACTCTAGGGTTGATCCGGTTGACTTTGACAAGAAATGTGGCGTTCAACATCGTGAAGGAGAAGACTACGTCCGGTCTGTTGAAGGCCTGTCAAACATGTATGAAAAACCATCGGCTATGAACAAGATATATTTAATGCGTATATTGTTCAATTTACAGATGTCTGAGAATGGATCCTTTTCTGATCATATAAACGAGTTCAATATAATTGTGAGTCAACTCAATTCTGTGAATATTAATTTTGAGGATGAAATTAAGGCATTGATTTTGATGTCATCTCTGCCCGAGTCTTGGGATACTGTTGTTGCTGCGATTAGCAGTTCCCGTGGATCTGAGAAACTGAAGTTTGATGAAATACGTGATGTTGTTCTTAGCGAAATTATTCGCAAACGAGAAGTGGGAGATTCATCGGGAAGTGGTCTCAGCGTTGATCGAAGGGGGAGAAGTAAGACGAAAGGCCAAAATCAACATGGTCTATCAAAATCAAAGAATCGAGAAAAATTACTGAATAGATCAAACGTGACTTGTTGGAACTGTGGAGAAAAAGGGCACTTTTAGACGAACTGTACAAAGACAAAGAAGAAACAGAATCAGAAATTTGGAGATGAGAATGATTCTGTAAATTCAGCAGAGGACATTGGGGATGCTCTAATCCTTAGTGTGAACAGCCCGGTTGAATCATGGATTTTGGATTCTGGTGCATCTTTCCATTTGTCTCCAAGCAAATATATATATATATATATATATATATATATATATATATATATGAACCTGTGATAGAAGATATTTAATTTTATTTGCCAAAATAAAAAATAACAATTGAAAAAAAAATAGTATAATTTTATGAATCATGTTTTTGTTATTTTATTTATTATTTTTTAATCCCACTTTAGTTTATCTATTTTTTATTTCACGTTTTATTCAAAGTAATTGAAAAATAAAATCCAATAAATGAAAATATTGATATCATAATTGAAGATTTTGTAAATTTTTTAGTCAAAACTGTTCTCTTTTTGCTTTGGTTTACTTATATGTTAATATTTTGTAATATTAAATACTTGTATTTTATATATTATGAAAATCATATTTTGTAACTCTTTTGAAGTATAATTAAATATAGATCAAAATAAATAAAATAGCGAATATAAATATTTAATATACATTTTATGAAATTTAAAAATAGGACAAACATATATGCCAAAAAAATGTTAGGTAGTGGAGCCTGATTAATTTTAGGTTTTCCTATTTATTCTCTATTTTAGGCTTTCCTATTTATTCTATATTTTAGGTTTTCCTATTTATTCTCCGTAACCAAAAATACTATGATTTATTAATATAAATATACCTCACCGCCGTGGAAGTTTACTCACGGGGTGTTATCACGAAATATTGAGTTTCCTCTTTCTCTCTCTAGATCTCTCATCTCTTTCTCTTGAAAGTTCTTGTGTTCTTCATTAATCTAGTGTGTTTTCATGAATTAGATCCTAACAAGTGGTATCAGAGCTAAGGAGTTTCAACACGATCACAGAAGATGGATAGTTCGAAACTTGGAATCGAGAAGTTTGATGGAGCCGATTTCAGTTTCTAAAAGATGCAGATCGAAGATTATCTGTACCAAAAAGATCTTCACGAACCATTGACCGGGGTGAAGCCGGAATCCATGACTGAGGAGAAGTGGAAACTCAAGGATCGCCAGACTCTAGGGTTGATCCGGTTGACTTTGACAAGAAATGTGGCGTTCAACATCGTGAAGGAGAAGACTACGTCCGGTCTGTTGAAGGCCTGTCAAACATGTATGAAAAACCATCGGCTATGAACAAGATATATTTAATGCGTATATTGTTCAATTTACAGATGTCTGAGAATGGATCCTTTTCTGATCATATAAACGAGTTCAATATAATTGTGAGTCAACTCAATTCTGTGAATATTAATTTTGAGGATGAAATTAAGGCATTGATTTTGATGTCATCTCTGCCCGAGTCTTGGGATACTGTTGTTGCTGCGATTAGCAGTTCCCGTGGATCTGAGAAACTGAAGTTTGATGAAATACGTGATGTTGTTCTTAGCGAAATTATTCGCAAACGAGAAGTGGG